TTAAAGGTTGGATTGGGCCACTACTTGCCTCACCCACAGATTCGGCTTGATTTTCCAGATCTGTACAGAGGGGATGGCGTGCATCTTTCAGAGAAGGGAAATGACATCTTTCTTCAGGACTTGCAGCAAGGGCTTAAGCTAACTTTAGGTGTTTGAGTGGGTGCAGGGGCCTAAGCAGAGGCTTGGCCCTTGTGGTGGCAGAATTAGTTTTAAATAAAGTTCAGCGGCTCGAAAGCACCAATTGATAACCCCTGGGAGGGTAGAGGGGTCTGCAGGATCACCCTGCAGCCGTGCAGCCTGGGATGAGGCTTGCAGACTGCCTATGGGGGATGGTCATGACGGAGACTCAGCGCTGGCTACGCGGTGGTGTTTGAGGGCTCCTGAAGGTGCATCCCAAGCATTGGCCCGGTCGGGTTTGTAAGCGACTTACAGTTGGCTCCAACCCAAGGCCGTGGTGTCTTGTCGTTTATACAGTTAAGGATGGTGGTCAAAGCGACTCCAGGCCTCGCCGTGCCGCTGTCTTCATTTATGCCCTTTGCCGTTTAGTTAATATTTTAATAAAGTGGCCTTATTTCATCCAACCTCGTTGTCTGACTGTTTCTTCCATCTGGGGGGGCAATATATCCCTCCTCCCTATTTCTGCTGCCTGCATTTTCCTGCCCTCTTGTGAGTAAAATTCTGATTTAATTGAAAATAGCTGCAGGATGTTGCAGAGCTGATCTGTGCCAGGATGGATTGATTCTCTTTATTTTTGGCACTGCAAGACCCACCATCATTTTGATGTTGATTGATATTTTTGTTATGCCAAACTTTGTTTTTTGATGGGTTATATCCACCACAGACAACCATAGGCCCTGGTCACACGGGAGGTTTTGCCCCGCAAGAGGGATGGATCGGGGACTCAGCAAACGGGCATGATCACACCGCAACATCTGGGAAGCGGCACGCACCCGTCCCCGATCCGTCTCTTCAGCCCGGAAACACGTAGCAAAAAAGAAACTGCAATAGAGCAGGACTTATCTGAAATGTCGCAGCAAGTGCGGCCGTGGGATCGCTGGCATGGCCGTCTTCAGGAGCATTCGAGGCTCCTGGCCGAACTGCACATGTGCACACATGCACAGCCAGCTGCCTCGTTCTCCCTTCAGTGGCTTCCCCCCCCCCGGCATCTGATTGTGCTGGGTAGCAACTGTGTGGCAGCTCAGGGTATCTGTCTGATCCCGCCGCCGTGTGTCTCTTTTGGAGCGGCTCTAAAAAGCTGCACTTTGGCGGTGCTCCCCCCCCCATGTGGCAGGGGCCTTAGCTTTCATTTCTAGGGGAGTTAATACGGGCCACAGTGCCACTTGTGCAGATAACCTAAGAGAAGATGTTACAGTTGCCTTCATTTTTGGCATTGAAAAAACCATGTCATCCTATATTTCATGACCATTTTAAAAATGTCTATCTTTTTGGGGATGAGCTATGCCACCCACATAAAACCTTTCCCCCCCATTGCAGTTGGGGAGTCTAATTTTAATGCTGGCCACAATGACCCTTTGTTTTGGACACTTACTAACTACAGGATTGCAGCTTGCATCGTAATTCTGGAACTATTGGCCAATTTTGTGTCTGCTAGTTGTCCTTGACCCTTATGTTGGCCTGGTGGAACTCTCTGCTTAGTGACATTCATGCCAGCAGGACCTGATACAGTTCTGCAGGATGTTCCGCCAGGCCTATGGATAAGAACAACAATGGTTTACCATTGAGCCTGGCATCTGTAGATTGCCCTGTCCTTCCCCATGAGGAAGGGTATAAATTGGCAGTAACCAAAATCTGGATGAGTTTTTACTATATATATTTCTATGTTTTAATTGCTGAATTGTTTAACTTGACCGATATATTTATCCATATATGATGTACACCAATTTGAGACCTCCAGGGTAGGAGAGTTGATAAATTAAATAAATAAATAAATAAATATTTTCTGGTGAGCTAAGACTTCCTCAGTAAACCATAGTTTCCAAAACAAAAGGGAAGGTGGGGAAGATTTCTAGAGATTACATGATCAAAGATGTTGAGATGCTCTTTGACACTTCAACTCCCACAAACATTCGGAAATAACTGGAGAATTCTGAGGTTTCTAGTTTTTTCAGATTTTCTCTTGAATTATCTGTACACCAGACAGACAGGAGGATGGATGGATAATAGAATTCTTCCTCATAGATTGTAAGTGTAACCATAGTTCTTTACATTAGTTTGCTTTTCTTCTTATCAGCTGTTCCCTGTTGTTCAACTCAGGCCGCAGCATAATAATAAAACATTTGGGGGTAAAGATGCAACCCAGAAGACCAGCAGTGGATGCTAGGATGGAGAAGATCTCCACGGCCACCATGGATTTTCCCTTAGTGCTCAGGTAGGTGGGAACAAAAGATATCCAAACACTGCAAAAGACCAAGAGACTGAAAGTGATAAATTTGGCTTCATTAAAACTGTCTGGTAACTTTCTGGCCATGAAAGACACCACAAAGCTAACAGCCAGGAACCCCATGTAGGCCAGTACACAGTAAAACATGGTGACAGACCCCACCTTACATTCCAGTACAATGGCTTCAGTCTCTGAGTGTATGTCAACATCTGGAAATGGGGGGGAAGTTGCCAGCCATGCAAAACAAAGGGCTGCTTGGAAAAGGGAGCATGAAATCACAATGGAATTGCCCACTCTTTTCCCCACCCACTTCCTCAGGCTGCTTCCTGGTTGGATGCTTAGGAAAGCCAGAACCACCATGACCGTTTTTGCCAGCACATAAGAAAGGGCAACTGAGAAGACCATGCCAAAAATTGATTGTTGGAGGAGACATGACATTCCTTGTGGTTGACCAATGAATAGCAAAGCACAAAGAAAGCAAAGGAGGAGGCAGATCAGAAGAGAATAGGTGAGGTTCCTGTTGTTGGCTTTGACAATAGGGGTGCTGTGGTGCTTTATAAAGATTCCTAGCACCAAAAGAGTGATGGAAGAAAAGGAAAGTACAAAAGTCACTAAAGTGATCCCCAGCGGTTCCTCATGGGACAAGAAAATGAAGTTTTTGGGAATGCATTGATAATGTCCCTTGTTTGAATATTCATCTTCTCTGCAAGTGATGCAGTCATCCAAGTCTGTCGAAGAGAAAGAGGTTGAAGGAAGAGAACTTCAGTGTATCCTATAACTGTTCCTGTATCTAATTATTCATGTGGATCGTTCTATGGGGATTACACTCCCCATTACACTCCACACTTCACTCCACAACCAATGCTTACCTGCAGAACCTTCTGAGAGCATGGCTGGACAATTCCGTAGTCAGGCAGATTATTTTGTTTTACTTCCCTATTGAAGCCAGATCACTACTGTGGCAGATAATGTATTTGATTGTGGGATATTTTTAAAGGTTCTTCAGTCTCAGACTGTCTGATGTAGTTTTTAAAGGAGAAATATTGAACTGAGAGGGCACAACTGACCCAAGATCACACCACATCACAGCTCTAGTAAGGCTTGTGGGGCTTAGCTCACTGATAATGACCAATACAATCAATACTAGTGATGTTGACCCTATCCCTTTGGAATTTCCATATCACCTTGGGACTCAGCTAGGAGAAAACCCTACTCAGTCTATGTCATTTCACGACTGGTCAACAGCAGTTCAGATAGCATAAATGTAAACTGGGGGGGAAATGTGGTGAGATATAGGGACCCAAAGCAGTGGTCAATGATCTCATATCCTCCATTTTATCCCCACCACAATTCTGTTAGCCAGGTCTGGTTTGGAATGTATCAATTCAATTCAATTCAAATACTTTTTATTGGCATACAATTTGGAATGTATCACTGGTCCACTGTCATCCAGCAAGTGTCCATTGCAAAGTGGGGATTTGAATTTATGTCTTCCAAATCCTACTCTAATACTCTACCGACTGAACTACACTAACTTACATGTCAGCTTTTATTTATTTTATCTTATATTTTTATTTGGTTCAATTTCTATCCCACCCTTTCTGCGAATGGGCTCAGAACAGGTTACAAGCATTAATTATAGGACAATGAAATTAGATATTAAAACTATAGAATATAACCCTTAAACTATGGTGATCAAACTACTTCACAACCATTTCTATGGTGCCCAGATATTAGTCAATTAAAAGCAGAGAGGGCTGAAGCCCATAAGAGATTGTAGGTGATAAATATTGCACCTCAGTTAAACCAAGGTGGGTTTGTATTCTGAGTCCTCGAAAATAAAGACCATAATTGAGGATAGCAAATAGTAATAGAACGGTAGCTGGATGGTAGCAGGAGAAGTCTGCTACCTCATCCAAAAGAATGGTGGAAGAGCTCTATATTACAGGCTTAGTGGAACAGTAAAAGGTCCTGCAAGTGCCTGATCTTTATTGGGAGTTCATTCCACCAGGTTGGGGTCAGGGCCAAAAAAAGCCCTGGCCCTGGTTGAGAATGGAAGGATGTATTTTGGGCTTGGCATCACCAGTAAATGCTGGTCTACTGAGTGCAAGACTTGATGGGGCACATATGGGGTGCTTTTAAGGGTGCAACCCTCCTTAGGATTGGGCTGCAGATCTCTTACCCTTCTGATCAGAAATCTTTCCTTCTGGACATGGAATGCAGCCATAGCAGCAGAATGGTTCTCCCTCCTTCATTTCCTTCCTGTAACCTGGATGGCAACTTCCACTGCAGACAGAAAGGGGCTGTGTCTAATCAATAAATGAGAGAGGAAAACAGAAAACCAGCCCGTTAACATATCTAAAAAAAGATGTTGTGTTTCTTCAAATAATTAGTGGTCAATAGGCCAAGACATTCACTTTGCACCTGTGGTGTGCAGTATGCTTGAGTCATTTGCTACCAAGTATCTTATGTTTAATTACTCCTGCAGGGCTTTCTCATGTTTGAAAATGAAGGATTGCATGAGTTGTGACATCAGGAACAAAACAGGCCCCATTATAAAATGATGTATAGATGGTATATGACCCCCAAAAAAATTGCTAATATGAATGTTAATATGTCAAATAAGTGTTGGAAATGTAAGAAACAGGAAGGCTCTTTTTACCATATGTGGTGGACATGTGAGAAAGCAGTGGCATTTTGGACGGACGTCCATAATGAAATGCAAAATTTTTTGAAATTTCCATTTAAAAAAGAACCAGAAATAATGCTTTTAGGTCTTAAGATGGAAGAACTGAATATTGCTAAAAGAACTTTGTTTTGGTATTTGATAACAACAGCCAGAATGACGTACGCCCAGTTTTGGAAACAAGACAAAATCCCTGAGGTATGGGATTGGATAAAGAAAGTACTTTTTATGGCTGAAATGGACAAACTGACAAAAAAATTGAACCATAAAGAAGATGAAGAATTGTTTGAAGAATGGAATGACTTTAAGGACTATTTGGAGAACAATTGGGATGTGAAGAATAATTTACTTTGCTTTGAGAGTTATTAAGGTTAGAATAAGTTGTTAAGATAGAAAATGAAACCATAAGTTTACCTAAGAAAATATATAATTAAGTACTATAGTGTTTTAAAATATGAAGATATAGAAAAAGATTGAAGGGTTTAAGCATTGCGGGAAGCCAAGATTGTGGGGGGGAGGGAGAAAAGAAAGGATATACATGAGAATGATTTGTAACATTGAAAATGTTGTTATATCCTGTATAATAAAAATTTCGTGCAAAAAAAAGGGGGGGGGAGAAAGGAGTGTCTTTTCTGGTTCTGATCTTTGTATACTATCGGTCA